CGTAGCATCGCCCGGAGCATCACCGAGTATTCCACTGGAGCAATATACTGGTAGGTAAATACATTTAGTGTTGGTGCTGTGTATCAAGTGCATGAAAGTGGTCGTCCCTAATTACCCTTCCCTAATGCTATATAGAGTCAGCCCGAGTCCCCTATCGCTAGTTACCAGGTGAACGACACCATGATATACTAGTTAGTGGCAACAGCAAGCCACAATACAGTAATCGTTGCCTTTGTGGTGTACCGCGCCATAAGTGTAATCTCAATGACAGTTATCAACATAAATAAATAAGCAGTTAATAGTCAAGTGTGCCTTGTTGTCGTGTCTTATTTTGAGCAGTGCCGAGTGCAGCTGTGACAGAGTGGTGCCTCAGTGTTCGATTAATGAGTGCTTCTGAATAGAGTAAAAGGCTATCTAATTGCGATTGCTGTACGGCACTACCTGTTGCTGCAATCGGTGCTGCACAATACTGGCTGTACCCGGTCCTTTCCCAATCCACGTTAACAAAAAGTTGCATGGCATAGTATAAATAAAAGTATTAAAGGTAAAGTAATAATTACCACACACGTTAGTCGCAATCCCCGGCTAACGTGTTACAAACTACAAAATTTTACTACAAGTGAATATCAAAACAAGGTAATTGTTCAAGAATGTTTGTAGACTTAATTATTATTTTATTATTTGTTCAACATTAAGCAACTAATTAAACGTTGTTATGCAGCCCTTAAAATATCAATTAATATTATTTGTTAACCAACTCTTTGTCTTTGTGTTGTCCTACAAAGACGTAGTACAGTTTTTTTTTTTTTTTCAACTAAGTAACTTTCCCGTTTTTGAAAAATATTTACCCTAGTCTCATCCAAACTATACATTTGTTGAAATTATTGTAATCTTAGTAATGATTTTGGCTTTCTCTTGATTTCTCTTGGCATTCAATTGACAATAATTAGAAATCCTAAAATTGATAACAGCAGAACTATTTTTATTTTTATTGGAAACTTAAACAAAAATAACTTATTTTTGTTGCCTAAATTGTACGTATCTCAAGAACTAATAGACTTGTCTAAAAATTTATCTGTACTTTGGTATTAACATAAGAAAACGAACGAATTAATTAAGAGTAGTTTTAGCCTTCCAGTAACTGAAAAAAAATAATATCACTGTTTTCATCGTAATTTTTTTCGTAAAAGCAGGTATTTAATTATCATGCAATAATCATACGATTGTTAAGGAATAAATATAATGTTTACTTGTGTTTAAAGTAAGAAAAACCAATGAGAGGTAATTTAACAGACTTGAAAAAATTTAGTTCTCATGAAATGCATTAAATTTTTTTAAAACTGTAAAATCGTGTATTAAAAGTGTTTTTGCAAAAAAGGAAGTAAAAAAATTTTTTTATGTTTCTTGCTTCAAAACGGTTTTTTTTTTTTTTTAAGTTTCGTAAGTATGAAAAATCTTACTTTATAATCTTTAAAAGGTCGGCAAAAAAGTAACTTTATTGCATATTTACCTGCAAATAAACGCAATTTATTAATTAATGTTACTTTTAGTATTGTACAGTTCCTGCTCACACTATTTAGCCTAACTTAATGTAATACCTGACGTCAGTTAACAACTGGCTGCGCAGTACTAAGTAATTTACCGGCCTCTAGGAAGCAGTCTGATTCTGAAAAAGTGATCTCATGGGAAAACTAATAATTGACATCTACATTTTTACTTATATTCTTTGTATTGGATTTTTGCAAGTTATGTTTCGGATGTCATTCTTAAAACGATCATCGTACTTGTAAACAACAATACAATTATAATTTTTAATACTTGACAGTTTTTAACATCACCCTTTTTTTGCTCCATACCTACTAACGTAGAAAATTGTAGTGATAACGGTAGTGCGGCTACTTAAATATTTTTTTAACGCACAAGATTTAATTTATTGATTTAAAAATCGTAAATACCATTCAACTGTATACCCACGATAAGAGGAATAATTTACACGTATTTTAATTGTATTTTTAAAATGAATTTTTCTATATATCGGTCAATTACCGGTAGGTGATCAGTTACTAGGAATTTTGTCCTATATTTTTTTTTCTCCCAAATAATTTTTTTTTATCATACAATTTCATTTATTGTCTAATAAAAATTATTAACATGTACAAAATTAAAACAACAATTTTCCAACCATCAACGACTACATATACAAGAAATACTTCTTTATTACCTTTTATTTTATACTAAAATTGATTTTCTTTAGTCTGAGCGTTTTCCATCCCTATTAAAAAACTCTAAGTTAATGTCTATGACGGGGATTTTTCTAGCCGATAAACAGCCGTTCCGGATCCCCTCACAAAACTCTCACTTCATTTCTTACCATGTCCCTACACTCTGGATATCTCTCCTCCGGGAGGTCTGCCACAGGTGTCTGGCTCGGGAACACCAGACACTCCTAAAAGGAAAATAGAAGGGGGCAAATAGGGGCACTACTTTTCAATAAACACTCGTAGATATAAATTTTCACAGCGCTCTCGCGCTATTTATTCGCCTCAATGCACACTCTCCACAACGTCGCCTCTCTCTCTCTCTCTCTCTCTCTCTCTCTCTCTCTCTCTACATATATATATATTTTGGCACACTATTCTCGAGGTAGATATCTTCGTGCTGTCACCTCCGGTCGTCCTCTTCGCCGAACTCCTCCCCGGCTCGAGTGTTGGTGGCCGGCACCTAAGCTACACACACACACACGGACACAACCTCAAGCATACCTTCCGCTCAATTCAATCTTTCCTTTCCCTATATAGATCCTACACCCCTTTATCCTGACTCAATCGTATCGTCTCCAAACCTTTACCTCGAAATAACACCTAGTGCACCATCCTCCGTAAAGTGACCTTCTCTCTGTCCTCGCCGTCACCCGGTGCTACCTGGAGTTCGTCTCAATCGTCGCATAGACTCGGCGACACGGTTAACTCTCGGGCAGTATTGTTCGGTGTTCTCCTATGCTCTCCTTTTGGATCCCTTTCCTCACTCTCAGCTCTACCTGTCACTTTTTCCTATATCCAATCCCTCTCTCTTTCCTATCTGCTCTCTATGCCGCTCCACGCGATACTAACTGCGTTATGGCAGTACACTTAAACAGATGCGCGCGCCCCTCCCATGTATCCGAAAAATCTCCAACACGCCTAAAAACTGGTAAATTATTGGAGGTTTCAAAAACTAGGGAATCGACGCGGCTGCTCGGTGCTCACACCTCTCCGACGTGTAACGAGCCCTCGCTTCTCTCCTTCTCTATCTTCCACACATGCTCACCCAATCATACCTCACACACTTTCAATCCCTTTTATGGTCTTCGGTCCTTCTCTCTCCTCTAGCTCGTAGTCCACGGCACCGAGAACACACATTAAGTAATGTGTTATAGATTTACATATAGAAAATATATACATGTTATTCTAGGACTCGGTAGCCGCCGATGACTTGCCCCGAAATATAGGTATACAGTGACGTGATAGCTTTAGCTACCACGTCACATGTCAAAGTTTTAAACTTAGTTGGAAAAACCTTTATATTATAGTATAAAGGGAAACAGGATTTTTGTTTTTACGTCGTAAATAGGGATACTGATTAGGTACACTATATTAACATTCTGTAAGCTCATTTGTTGTTTTTTACTGAGTAAGATATCACCATATAATATTCTTACTGACGTTAAGTAACAGAATTAAGAGTTAATGAGATTATAAGCGATTTAAAAGAAATCAGCGTTCCATAGCAACACTTTAATATTAGTTTAAAAGTTTGCTTCCAAAACACAAAATAAAACGCAAAATAATATTGTAATTAATTTCTACAAGAATATTAAATAAAATTGACTTTAAAAGTATCTAGTTGTTAAAGAAGCGCAAATAAAAAATAAAATTTTGTTTTGATATTTTTAGAAGATTAAATGATATTGAATCAGTTTAACAAAATGTAGTAACAAAATAATTTTTTCTCATTTTTGTTAAAGTAGAAGTCAAGAAAAAATATTGGGCTAACAAAATTCAACAGAAAACTTAATGAAATAAAGTAAGAACCAAACTGGTATAGTTTAACCTTTGGTCAATCGAAAATAGTTTGTACTAACATTAAGTGGGGCTAAGGATTGCTAAGGGGGTACTATTAAAATAAAGAGAAACTTAAGGGGTATAGCAGACAGTTATTATAAAAAAAGGAATGATTGAAAGTGTCTAAGTGTCGTTAAAAAAATAAGGGGGAGAGGAGTATCATTAAAATAAGGACAAACAACATGATATATTAAAGTGAAAACAAGAATTACACTTATTTTGTGGGGGGTGATATGGGGTCTGTGGGGGTGGTTAGGATCAGTGGTAGGCTTCAGGCGGGCTGTGTGAAATGACCCATACAATTAACTTTATAATATAGGAAGATGTATGTTGCCCACGGACACCTACAGCCGTCTCCCTAAAGTACCCCCGCTGTCTATTCACAGTCTCCTTATAAATTAAAAAAAGTTCGTCATATACCTTCGTTATTTTAACCTGTTAAGTATTGGGCTGAGCCCCATACATCTCTCTACTGCCTCTCTACTTTTTTCCCCATAGCTTTCCATACGATATTTCTTGCCCCCTTCCGCCCCTTATACAATTTTCTTGCCTTTTACTGACCTTCCAGTGTCAACATAGACCTTTAAAAGAAACTATATAATACGACCCCTGCCCCTTTAGTCTTCGAGAAAAAATATGTGCACTGTTTTCTAGTAAAATTTCCAATATATCATTTTACAATAAATTTTTTAAACTTTTTAATTGCATGACAACTCAAATAATAGTATAAACTTTTTTTTAATAATTTTACACGCCATTCTGAAACGACTAATAAAATGAATCTAGGCTTTAAGTAATAACAGTTATTAGGGTATCAGTTATAGCGCGCTTAAATCAATACATTATAATATACACTTTGATTATCAATGTATTAACGTCTTTTACAAGTGTACGATCATAATGTTCCTGTACGTACGTATACAATAATACTAGTTTTTTTAATATTGTAGAAAAATTTATATACTTTTACATATTTATATAATCCCGAAAATGGCTCTATATAGGCTTTATAACGAACAATGTAGGTGCAATTTACAAATCCAAAGCACAAATAATCAATGAAAGATATTGACTGCTACTATGAGTGAATGAATAAATTATAAGTGTAACCTTCTTTTTTATTACGTATATATGTGCAGCCTCCTTTGAGTTAGGCAATGTTTTATCAATAATGAAATAGTAAAGCTATATGAGAAATGTTATAATTGTAATGATGATTTTTAATAAATCGTATTTATGTTAAAAAGTAAAGCATTGCAGTGTAATTCATTTTAAACACCGCAACTAATTTATGGATTTCAACGTTTCTGTAGGTGGCTACGAAGAATGGATGGAACGGGTCATTGGATAAGCATCCGTTTCCGGAAAAGCCCGAGGAGTCGACCACCAACCGAGCTGGCACCAGTTCTAGAGGTACACATGATCGAGCAACAAAACGTAAGGCTTTAAATACCATAGCTGCTGTTGCACGCAATGACACAAATATATTAGACGATGATACCGATGATGAATTTAATGACACAAAAAAGAGAAAATTTCAACAGGCAAAGAGGGCAGAAGAGGTGGCCAAAAAAGCCAAAGAGGCGCAAATAAATAAATTCGAAAGCGACGATAAAGATTTAGAAATGATCGAAATCGATAATAATGTTCTTAAAGACAGACAACCTTCAGACTTAGATCTCTTTGATAATTCAGATTTACACAGTTTGCGCAAGAGTACACACAATGATAGCTTAAAAAATTCTAACATAATAGATGATGTATCACAGTATCCTATACGGGTAACACCACCTAATCCTTCCAAAAAAAGTTACAAGGGTCCAAGGGCAAAGAATAAAAAAAATGCTTCATCAGAAACAAATAGTATAACAAAAAACAAAAGTGGAATAAGTGAAGAAGAAATAGCAAAATTAATTCACACTATTGATGAGGAGACAGGGGAAAATAATAGTGAATGCATTGATATAACTGACGAAATAAAGCCGGCGCCAATATCAAGGACGCAAAGTAAATTGCAAATAGCACAGGCAAGCTTAAAGAAAATTCGTGAGGAAGAAAATGAGCGAAAGATAAAACTTGAAGAATCCAAGAAAAAAATTGAAAAAGAGGAGGCGCAAAAAAAAAACGAAGCTGTTAAAAAACGTTTGAAAGAAAGGGAAGAGAAACAAAAACTTGAAGAAGAAAAAGCGAAAAAATCTTTGTCAAAAGAAAAATTTTATAATAATGTATTGAATTCAAAGCAGCAAGGCATGGTCACGAGAGCTAATTACAAAAAAGAAACTGAGACAAATTATGATGAAATGGATGAAGATGTTCTATTGGTAAGATAATTAAAAAAAAAAATTTATAAGTAATTTGATGTTGATTTTAATTTTTTATTTGATTTTTTTTTTTTTTTTTTTTTTTCATTTCAGGCGGGTGATGATGACGAGCCACTGATAACAAATGTTGTTACAAAGAACCAATGTCCTATTTGTCAAAAGTCATTTCCAGCAAATGAAATTGAAGAACACGCTTCTGGGTGCAATGCGTTTGACGATCAAGTTGTTAGCCTTTCTGAGCCATCAACCAGTAATGAAGCTCGTTTATCTTGTAATATTTGCAAAAACTTTACTACTGATGACGGTATTACTTTTGAAGAACACATAGCGTCATGCAAACAAGAAGCAAATAATAAAAGGACGGGTTAGTAGATCAACAGAGTTAACTAAAATTATCACATTCTACAGAATTTTCAGTAAATTTTTATTTACTTTACAGGAATTTACGTTTAAGAATAAAACAATTTTTCAATAATGGTAAAATTTGAAATAGTTATTTCAAAACCATCATCAAGAACAATAAAAAAAAAAAAAAAAANAAACTTGGTATAACAGAAACTTAGAAAATTAGATTAAATTTAATTTCAATAGGTCTTGAAAAATCTGATATTGAAATAGTAAAAATTTTATTATTATTACGTATTTGAGCACGCGCGTGCTTAAAATACATATATTTATGTTACTTGTGATTCGCGAATTTGAAGTACTTCCATGTTTGCTATTATATATGTTGTAACACGTAAGCCGGGGATTGCGACTAACGTGTATTATTATTACTTTTGTTTACTAAGGGACTTTTACCGTTATGTTATTCGGCAAGGAATCGGGTTATTATATGTAAGGTGCAGCGCTGAATGCAGCAACAGGTAGTATCGTATAGCTAGCAGATCTGAATAGCCTTTTTTTATGTATCAGGAAGTATTCCCTAATAGTACACTCACTGAGGCACTATCCTGTTGCAGCTCCATTCAGTGCTACACAAAACGAGTTGAAACACAAGACGATATATGAATTGTAATAGTTTATGTATCTTCATGAACAACAGTCACTTTCATTACAACCTCAACGCAGCACACCACAAAGGTGACGGTCCGTGCGACGTGACTTGCTGTATTGATACGCTAGACTTGGCGTTTTACTTTTATATTGTGATTACGATAGAGGACTTGGACTGACTCTACAATTGACAAGGTAGGGTAATTAGGATGACCACTTTCACGCACTACTACACATAGCACCAACAGTAGATATTTTCACATACCAGGATTTGACTCCGGTGGAGTGCTTCTTGATGCCTTCGGCAATGTTACCAGCGTCGAAGGCACGGGGAATCTGGGTGACCGCGTGAGAGCTAGTTTATTGTAAGTGTGTGTGTGGTACTGGGTCTCGGCTTCACTACGTCGCAGTAATTCGACAGTCGAGAGTCTGCTGAGGCCGCGCCGCGCTGCTCCGGTGCTAACATCACAACTAGCTCAAGTGTCTGTCCTTGTTCCGCCGCGCAGGCGCACCGTATGCTATGCGGCCTACCGCACACTATCAACCAACGCAGCACTACACACAGTGGCCACCAATACTAGGATTGCTCCCAGGATACCGACACATCGACAGCTGTCGTTCCCAGATCCACTCACTCAACATCGCACATACTCACACACACACACACCTCCGGAACACTGGTAGGAAGTACGGGAGAAGAGTAAGGCCGAGCTCTATAGCCACTCTTAATGCTATGGCCTCCTGGCTGCACACAGGAATTCCGCACACTACAGCAAGCCACGCACAGGAGAGAGAAAGCTAGCTACGAGACTCTTGCCATTTAACGTAGGTGTCAAGGGTTCTGTGACGTGCTCGTGTGTATATCCGATTTGCCACGTCACAATGTATTAATATATGTATGAATTGATGGTCTTGTAATGCAGAATGAATACAAAATTTTCTCCGTAATGCCCTGAAAAAAGGTATTTTTGTCCAGTTACGTGGGATAAAAATTCCTTGTATTTAACATTTTTTATTTGTACATTTGGTATGATACCATATATGTACAATTAATTCTTGTTAGAATCATTGTATCGGACGAATTTTTTTAAATTTTGGCTACCATAAAAGTAAAATAATCCACGCTATCTGATTACGATTAAGGAAAACAATAGTCATTTAGCTATTTTCCATTGTAAAGTTGTAATTTTTCATTCAATTTACTTTGTATAATTATTTATATTTTAATATTAAAATTTACCCGTGAAAATGACCTAATTTCTACTAATCTCGAAATTAGTAATAATACAGGTTTTTGTCACGTGACAGTTATTCTTACAATACATGATAAAGAATAAAAAATAAATCAATTTATAGCTAGGAAATGTAGGACGTAGCTTTGACTTTGAGGTATGACTTGTTATTTTTAGAATTACTACGATTGTTTGAATGAATCCATGTGACATATATTCTTACTCCTTAGTAATTATTTTCTATACGTGGAATTATTTTTGGCCTACCCAGCTTCCCTTTCGAGATATGACTGTTTTTCGAATTTCGAGAGGTTATGTTGTGACAAAAATGTTTTGAAGATTTTGTAAATGTCCACACTAATTTTGCAAATACGGCGTACGAAAGAAAATTTTTTTCACTTGTTCTTTTCAAGATACAGTTGAGAAAGGAAATAATTGAGGTTATGTTTACGCATAGTCCAACTCATCTGTAGTTGTGCACCTCGATCATGTAGTTTTACTGTAGGGAACCCGTAAAAATGGTTATTTTTAGCCAATTTTGCTTCCCTTTCGCGTTACAGCGTTTTCAAAGTAAGGTTTTCGTATAATACATATTTAATACTTCATGCACGTTGTATTATACATGTACACATATAAACATATATGTAATGACGGGGAAGTGCAACACGTATATATGTATACAAAATACTTACATCTGCATTGCCTCTAGTATAGGTACGGCTGCTGTTTTTCTCTTTTCCCTTTTCTTTATACCTATACCTCAGCTTGCCGAGCCCATCGGTTTAGTGTTTAGTCGTCGCGTAAAAATATACATACTAACATACCTATGATATATGTGTACATACATAGGTCTAGTATCAGCGTGAGGTGAAGGGAGAGAAAGAAAGACATAACGGTAGACATTAGAGTGACGTGCGCTACGAAAGAGAGAGACGAAGCTGGAAGAAATGTGTAAGAGAGGAGATTTAGGAGAGGACTTGGGCCGCAGGGTGGGTGGCTACGTTTTTTCGTGATGCATTTCCCCTCACGTGGCTGCTCATGGCCCAACATGAGAAGTTTCACTTCAAAAAGTTTTTAGTTAGCTAGCAAATAGTGGACAAATCATTTATTTTTAAAATAACCATTATTTAGGTTCCATTAACAGAGCAATTGTTACTTATAATCTCGTAGACACAGCAACATTTGAAGATATTGATAAATGTTATATTTATCATTATATTGGTGTTCCATCAGAAGTTTCAAATAATATTTTTAAATGTCTGTTATTTTACTATTTAGATTTTCAAATTAGAGCAGTACCAATATTATTAGAATTTTAAATATGAAATATAGGTTATTTATTGAAATAAAATTAAAAACAATAAAATTATTTAAATATACGATTAAAACAAAAATACTAAAGTGTAAAATTCATAATCAAGTATTTATTTCATGTATGATTAAATGCACAGAATTTTAAAAATTTTCACCACTTCTATTATATCGCAAATAGTTTCTAATTATTTTAGTATTCTTTACGGAAATTGATAAATTGCAGCCCCCTTACAATTTCTTAACACATTGTTTTAATATCGCTCCAATACTGGTTTTAGCCCTCTTATGCCATTTCATACCACTTTCCTAATAATTATTTTATGTATATAATTTGTTAGCTTATTTTCACACTACATTTAAAGTACTTTTATGGTACGCTGGTTTTTTTCTCTTTAACTCTGAATAAGTTCATTTATTGCATTATTGAATATGTATAAAAAAATAACATGATATTTCTATACCTAATCAAAAAACAATAAATAATTTTATAAAATATTTAAACAGTAGACCTTGCCCAAAGCCCCATTTACCATTCAAAAAAAAATCATCTTTTCTTTATTGAAATATGTCTTTAGTCTTCATCCTACATAATTTGCAACATACAATAGAAAAAAATTTGTATGCCATAAAAACTTTACATTATTTAATAACTTGATGTACATATTATTTTAATACATATGTTTTCATGTTCTTATATTATGTTTTAATATTACAAATATAATTTTTTAGAATCAATCAGGAATTAAGACAAATTTTATTTTTAAATTAAAGATATTTCATAAACCTCACCAGTTCACGTCAGAATGATATTTACGATAATGACATCGTAATACTTTGTTTTTTAATATAAGTAAGCAAAATAAAATTATTATAAGTATTAACTTTATTACGACTCATTATTACTTATTATTATTATTACGACTTATTATTTAATTTTATTCATGAAACAATATTAAATTGATCCTTGAATATTTTCTGAGATTAGAAACCACGCAAAAAATTGTTTCAGGAATTTATAAAGAAGTATCTAATGAATTTACACTTCTTTTGTTTTGTTCTGAAACAACTTTACAAGGATTTTCGTATTTTCTTCATTTAAAAAAGCAATCTGAAAGAATAAAGCATTTAATTAGTATTCTAAAATAAAAGAGTTTGTGCACAGTGATTTTGGTGGGTCTGTCCACCCCCTCCATTTTTTACAGACGCCCCACAGCCCCTTGAAAAAACAAAGGAAAATTTCCCATGTTTCTCTATTTGTTATCCCTAACGCCCTCCACTACCCCTCCATAGCCCTCTTCGCAAATGTAGTAATCCTAAATTTTCCCACTTCTCCCCACAAAAGTATTTTCAGAAAACGCTGTAGTTATCCTGTTTTGATGAAAATATAAAATAGAAGAGTACGTATGAGAAAATCTTTCCACCTCAAGGCCCTCCCCCACACAAACTTATGATGTATTGTTAGTGACAAGTGTTGCCCTTATTGGAAGCTGGACGTATAGTACAATAATTGGAAAAAAAAAAAAAAAAAAAAAAAACTTATAAAGATGCTTTATTCTAGGATCAATATAGATTATTTACCCTAAAAGCCCCTTCACCCCCCCCCCCCACATTAACATACAATTTTTTTTTTAATTCCCTTAGAATTGAGATAAAAAAGGCTAATTCACCTACCCCCTTCATTAAAAGTTAGAATTTTTCTTAGATACTTGCTATTATTATATTTGTCGATACCTCACCTCCACTGTACAGTAATTTTAATATGTGTTTCTTCAGTTTCATTAGTTTCCAGTTAACTGACCATAAATTTGATTAAAAGTAAGAACTTTTTAAGAAAAGGTTGTTGACGACGTGGATAGTCTCGATGGTATATCGAATAACATTACATTTAAATCTTTCTATATTATATACTTATCTTGGTATATATGTC